GAGAGGGGTTTCGGGTGGGGGAGGGAGGGGGAGCAGCGGGCAAAGGAGAGCGGCACCTCGAGGCTGGCGGGCTGGAGCTGCATGCGTCCCGACTGCGCAGCTGGCCGGCACCCACTCACAGCTGGTCAGCGTGCGGAAGCGCTCCTGCCCCGCCGTGTCCCACACGGTGAGGCGGATCCTCTTGCCCCCCAGCTCGATGATCTTGGCCTTGAAGTCGACCCCGATGGTGGGGACCAGCTCCTCAAACCCGCCCGTGGCAAAGCGAAGCAGCAGGCTCGACTTGCCCACGCCGCTGTCGCCCACCAGCAGGATCTGCACAGGGGCGGTGCCGTTGTGTGTGCAGGGCAGGGAGCAGGCGCGGTCAACCCGGGGACTGGCAGGGGACTGGCAGCCGCGATGGTGGCGCCGGCAGCGGCGGTGAGCGAACGCAATGGCGGGAGCGGCGGCAATCGTTGCCTCTGCCTGTCGGCGGCGCCTGCCCCGCCCCTGCGGTGATCACAGCCGGCGTGGAGGCCCACCTTGAAGGTGTGGTCTACCTCAACCTGTGCAGGTAGTCCCGCCATGGCAGGGCTGCAGCGCTGCCTAAGAACGGGCGTCCCGCAGTGAGTGTGGAGCAAGCAGGGACGGAGGGGTGCAAGCAGCGTGTTTTCCAGCCGCGAAATTGGCAAGGAGGCGCAGAGACCAAGTCACAACAGCTGCCCTGTGGCTCCCGTTACTCAATTCCGCTGCAAGCCGACACTCTCCAGCAAACCACTATCATCTTCCAGCGCCCGGGAGGGAAGCGGAGGCGGTCATAGCCGCATGGGGTTCCTTGGTTGGCCTTCCCCGCAGCGCCAGTAGCCGCAGCGGACGCGTTTGTGCACTAAGCAGCAATGGAGCGAGCCTCCCTAGCGCTGCGAATCCCCCCGCAGCTGCTGCCCTCAAGCAGGGGAGGGGCGGGGGCTGAAGACTCGCTGAGTAGTGACAGCGTCAGCGTAGATAGCGAGCTGAGGGGACTGGAAAGGCGCACGGTGGGCCACGGGGCGCGCAGCGCCAGCCGCCCCGCAGCGCCCCGCCAGCAGTCGGCCGATGGCGTGCTGACCCGCAGCCCCACCGGCCTGGCCCCTGTGTCGGCTGGCAAGCATGGCGGCATTGCGCTGACCACTGTGCATGTGGATGCCACAGCCAGGTGGGACGGCGCAGCGCCGCATGTAGCTCCGCAACAGACGGCAGCGCCAGCAGGGCCGCCGCCAGCGCTGCCGCCGCCACCGGTGGTTGAGCGCAGGGGCAGCAGAGCGGGAGGGCAGGCTGACACCAGGCATGGGAAACCTACAGGGGCAGCACCATCACCAGCAGCGGCAGCCAGCAGCACGAGGGGTGCGCAGCAGCCACCTGCCAGCACCTGCAGCGCCTCCCCAGACGGCTACTCAGACGACGGCTTCGAGGCTGAGAACAGCCAGCGGCCCAGCAGCCCCAGCAGCACGGTCCGCACCACCACCACTGCAGCTGGCACTGCAAGCGCCAGGGCAGCAGCGGGGCCAGTGCGCAAGCTTGGCGCCAGCCCCGGCAGCGGCAGCGGCAGCAGCAAGCCCAGCAGCCGCCCCTCCTCCGGGCGTTGCTCGCCCAGCAGCCCGCCCTCGCGCACTGCCTCGCGCCTGGGCTACCTGGCCGCCACAGCCGCCACAGAGGCCAAGCGCTCTGCGTCGGCAGCCCACAGCAGGCCTTGCTCCGCCTCGCCCCACAAGCAGCAGCAGCCGACGCGGTGAGCTGGCCGCCGCTCGAGCTGCCGCTTGCCTTGCAGCCTTTGCATCTGCTGCGCCGCTCCAGTGCGCATGCTTGCGGTGGATTTCATCCTTTTCTGCCTGCCTGCCTGCTGTGTGGCTCCCATGGGTTGCAGGCCGCCAAGCCCCTTCCCAGGAGAGGCCCGCACCCAGGAGGCCCTGGAGGCACGCGTGTCCAAGCAGATGTGCCGGGACCCCGCAGAGTGGACGGTCAGTCTGCCCGCCGGCAGGCCGCAGCTGGCCCCAATGCCTGCAGCCTCTGTATGCACCTGCCTCTGCGGGTACCTGCACAATTCAGCACAATGATGACCACCTGCCCATGTCCGCCTGCCCACCTGTCAATTTCCCTTCTTGTGTCGGCCCCCCACCGCTTCCGCCCGCAGGTGCGGGAGGTGTGCGACTGGACGGAGCTGATTGGGCTGGGGCAGTACCGGCGCAAGCTGGTGCACCACGCCGTCGGCGGCGCGCTGCTGCTGCGCCTCACAAGCGAGGAGCTCAAGGTGCGGTGCGCTTGGCCCTGGGGCGGCTGGCAGGCATGCTGAGCCCTGAAGAGCTTTGTGTGTGGTGAGAGTGTGTGTGTGTGCGTGTGTGTGGCCTGCCCTGCCTGCCTGCGGCCCCAGAGGCGCTGTGTGCTCTCCCTGGGGTGCAGAGCGAGGTTGGCATAGGGCCGCTGGGGCACCGCGAGGGGCTGCTGGACGCCGTCAACGACCTGGAGCAGTACTGGCGGCAGCAGCTGCAGCAGCGGGCCCAGGGGCAGGCGCAGGGGCAGGCGGCGGCAGAGGGCGAGTACAGCGCAGACTGGGGCAGCCCCGCGGGCAGCAGGCCGGCCTCGCCGCCGCCCAGGCTGGCTGACTGCAGCCTGCAGCGGGCGTATGCGCAGCGCGCGCGGCTGCTGCGGGACTTGGAGAAGGCAGAGAGCCGGGAGGCGCACCGCAGAGTGTGAGTAGGCTGCGCCTGGCGGGGTGTCTAATTGGCAGCCGCGCTGGGGAAGGCAGGCCTGACTTGGCCGTCGTGCTGATGCTTGCCGCGAGCTGGCCTTGCTGCCTTGCTGTGTATGCTCACAATCTGGCTGCCAGGTCAACATCTGCCACACCAGAGCCTTGCGCCGGCAGCTTCCCTCGCCCTGTGACCCTGGTGCCTGCTGGGCCTGCCCTGCCCTGCAGCGCGGCGGAGCAGGCGATGCGGGTGGTGGGGCAGGCATCGGAGGAGGTGCGCAAGCTGCAAGCCTCCATCTGGGAGATCGACCGAGAGATTGGGTGGGAGGCGGCGGCGGCACAGCAGCACTGCCACGCCCTGGATCTGCACGGCGCGGTGGCCTGGCAGCCAGCGGGCCGGCAGACCCCAAAGCCGCGCCCCAGGGCCGTCAGCCCCGACGTGCGACCCGGCAGCGGCAGCAGCGGCAGCGGCGGCGGCAGCCCCATGAGCCGCGTGTCGCGGCGCATCATGGAGGCTCAGGCCGCCGAGGGCGGCGGCGGCAGCAGCTTCCTGGAGCGGCTGAGCAAGGACATCGCGAGCCGGCAGGGCAAGGCGGCAGCGGCGGCGCGCCAGGCGGGGCGGTACGTGGGAGGCGCTGACAAGCAGCTGGCGGAGCAGGAGCGGGGCATGAGGGATGTGCAGTTCATCAGGTGAGGCCCGGCAGCTGCTGGGTGCCGGGGAGGTGTGAAGGCAGCCGCTGGTGCAGGCGCAGGGTCCGCCTTTGAAGTGGTGCCCTGGCCACAGCCGGAGCCTCTGTGTACAACAGCGCTGCTCCTCCCACTCTCCCACCGACACACCCCAGCACCTTTGAGCTGCAGGGAGGTAGTGGAAGCCAAGAGCAGCGAGCTGGCTGAGGCGCTGGGCAGCGGGGAGGAGGCGCGGGTGGCGGAGGCCTGCGACGGTGCCGCCGTGTCGCTGCAGCAGGAGTGGGGGCTCAGCAACGACGCGGTGGCGGCGGTGCGCAGGCTGGGCAGCGCGGCCAAGAAGGCGGGCAGGCTGGCCGGGGCGCTGCGCAGGCAAGGGGGCGTCGCATGCTGCCCGGCCAGCTGCCTGCCTGCCTCGCCTGCCTGGTTCACCTGCCGACAAAAGCCCACCACCTGCAAGGACTCGAGCCGATCAGCTGCACGATGCATCCGCAAAGCCGCCATCCCCTGCCCCTGCCCGCATGGATGCAGCACGCAATTCATGCAGCGCCTGCAGCACGACCTGTCCACCAGGGAGGGGCGCCTGCGCGAGCTGCAGGACAAGTGAGTGGCTGCGGCTGTGCAGGCCGGGCCGGCTGGCAGGCGCAGCGGTGCGGCGGGTGACGCTGCGAGGTCTGCTGCGCGCTGCGCCAGGTGGCACGTGCCTCCCTCCCTTCCCTGCCTGCCCTGCCAGGCCATGCCTGACCCATCTGCCTGCCTGCCTGCCTGCCTGCCCACCACAGGTATTTCAAGCTGGAGGCCGGCAACAGCGCTGAGCAGCAGGAGAAGGCGGATCTGGCGGCGGCGCAGCGCCACTTTGCCCTGCTGGGCTGGTCGGCGGCGGACCTGGAGGTGGCGCCCGGAGAGGAGGCCGCCGCCTGCGACGAGCTGCTCAGGGCGCTGCTGCGGCGGGCGGCGGCGCTGCAGGAGGCGCGGCAGCGGGGCAAGAGCGGCGTGGACTGGCAGGGGCCGGAGTGGAGGTGAGGGGCGGGCGCCAGCCTGGGTCGGCGGCTGGGCTGGCAGCGAGCGGTCGGGGAGGAACAGACACGCCGCCAAGTGTGAGGCATGGTGTTCTGCCCGCCTCCCGTGCGTGTGCAGGCTGGATGGGCTGGACAAGCTGCAGCGGGAGCACAATGTGACGCTGCAGGCGGCGCTGGATGAGCAGAAGGCGGCGGCAGAGGCGGCGGCGGCCCAGCAGGCCGCGGGCAGGCGCAACTACGCGCAGCCGGCGGCGCAGCAGAAGGAGCTCCCGCAGGCAAGGGGGGTGCAGGCGTATGCGCCAGCGCTGGCCGACAGACTTCTCCAGGCGGTGGCGGCTTGCTGGGAGTTGGTGGTGACTCCTCTCTTAGCCGCCGCTGCCCCTGCGCCTGCTCCCTCCTCCACTCCCCGCTGCAGCCAGGCGACCATGTGGGGGACACTGTGGATCTGCTGGCGGCGTGCCGGCCCGCCGAGGTGGCGCTGCTGGAGGGGCTGGGCGGCTACCGCAAGCTGGTCATGGCCTGGCGGTGAGCTGGCCGGGGAGCGCAGCAGGACAGCACTCTGAAGCCGGGCAGTGTGGCGGCAGCTGGTGACAGGTGGGTCATTTAGCCCAGCGCTGCACTCCCATCGGCCCACCCTCACACACCACACCACTGCCGCCACCCACCCGCCCACCCCTCCACCTGCAGCGCGGTGCGCGCCCAGCAGTTTGTCGCCTTCACGCGCCACGACCTGGAGCTGCGCAAGGCCAAGGCGGCCGCCCTGCAGCGCCAGCTCTACCCCGACACCACCAAGCGGCTGGCCAGGGAGGAGTTTGAGGCCTTCTTCGAGCGGCTGATGGCAGACACGGCGCGGAGGGCGCAGCACAGGCACGCACGCTGCGCCCGCGCTGCGCCCTGGCGCTCGGCGCGGCATCGCGCAGCCCCGGCCTTGGCCCGCATCCTTTATTCTCTGTCTGGGCTTGCCGTTGGCAAGCTGGTGCCACCTGGCTGCTGCCTTCCCTGCCCCCTCCGCTCCTGCAGGGATGAGCTGGCGGAGGAGGCCAGGGCAGAGGCGCTGGCAAAGCTCAAGAGCACCGCGCCGCCGCCGCTCAACCACCAGCGCCAGCAGCGGGCAGCCTCGCCAGCGCCGGCAGCGCAGCCCACCAGCGGCGACAGCTGACGCGCTGGTGCATCAAGGGTGGCGGCTGAGGGCGAGCAAATTAGGAGGGCCGCTTAGGCGAGCTCAAACGGAGGGCGAGCATGCCAGCCGCATGGACAGGAGGGGAGGGTGCAGCATTCATTGGAATCTCGGGGCGACTTGTCTTTACAGTAGCTTTGCCACGATGGGACAGCTGCCACGACACAGCAGGGATATGAAAGGGGCAAGTGCTGCCATCAGGGTGCGGTGTAAAAAACGAGAAAACGTATTAGCTGCGGCTATGAAGCAAATGGTGGATGCCTATCCTACCTACAGAAGAGAACTACATATGTACAGTACAGTGACTGTTGATACATCACATCAAGGCTGTTCACGGTAAGAGCTCAGTCGCCTGTCACGGCCCGGTGAGAGGGTGAGAGAGCAGTCAGGCAGCGTGCGAGGTCAGTGCTGGCAGCCGCACGGCGGCAGGCAGCGGCACCACTTCCGACCGCAGGGCCTCCTGCCGCCGCAGCGCCAGGCTCGCCGCCACCTCCTCCTCTATCGCCTCGGCGTGCTCAAACTCCAGATCTAGCATCCCTCTGCGCCAGGCAGGCAGGCAGGTGGCAGCAGGCCACGTGAGCCAGGCAGCTGGAGGCCCAGTATCTCTCCAACATGGGGCCAGCATGCATAGATGCGCATCCCTGCATGATGCAAGCCTGCGCGTGCAGGTCGCCAACAGCCATTGCTGCGCCTCCAGAGCCTCGCTGCCCAGGCCCACCTGAGCTGCAGCAGCATGGCAAAGTCGGTGGGCAGGTGCGCCGTCTCCTCCAGCAGCAGGCGGTACAGCGACGCCAGCTCAGCCGTGGAGTGCAGCCCGCCTGCCAGCGGCTCCAGGCAGACGTTGTGCTCGTGCAGCGCCCGCCGCACCTCCAGCCACGCCCTGCAGGCAGTGTGCAGTGCAGGGTGGCAGGGGTTGTGTGCAGGCGCAGGCTCCAGCCACATCCGCGCGGCTCTGCCTGATGGGGGCTGTCCCTGCCCGGCGGCAAGAGAGGCAGCATGACAGGCAGCCCGGGAGCTGGCAGCTGCAGGCACCTGGGCGGCGTGCACACCCACCTCGAGCGCGAGCCTGCCCGCAGGAAGCCCAGGGCCCTGAGCACCGCTGTGGCCTGCCGCGTGCGGGCCAGCGCCATGCGGTACCCTGGGTCCACATCCACAGCCTCGCTCTGCAAGCGGTACAGGCGGGGTACATGCGCAAGCTTCGAGTCAAGAGGGAGGGCCCAGCGCAGACCAGGCAATGAGCATGCACGCGGCTAGACCATGCCAGGGCATGCCGCGTGCAGCCCCAGAGGTGCGGCCTAGCCGTGCGGGCCTGCCCCAGGCGCCCCAGCCGGGCCAGTGCAGCAGGCGCACCCTTGCAGGGCGGACGAGGCCCATGATGCCGGGATATTCTAGGGTGGGGCGAGGCGGCCTCCTGGCACGTACCGCCGCAAAGGCCGCCGCAGCCACCATCACCGCTGCCGCAAAGGCAGTCGGCTCTTGCAGCCTGCACATGTGCATGCGTTTGCAGGCGAGGCGTCGGCGTCAGATGGTGGGAGGGGAGGAGGTGGCCCCACTGGCTGGGTGCTTGCTGCTCTCCAGGCGACCCTGCCCTGGCCCTAGCACAGTGCAGGGCATCACTGGGGTTGGACAAGCTCACCTGGCAGGCGCCGTTGCAGTAGTACGCATCCATTCATTCATTCAGCACACAGACCGGCCGCCTCTTGCTCGAGGGCGGCCCACTTTGGCCTGGGCAGCCCGGGCCGCCCTCCCCCCCGGGCGCATGTTCGGTGTTGGAGGGGTGTGCCCAGCGATAGGGGGCCCCTGAAGGCATGCGCCGAGGCCGGGAAGCGTGGTTCGGCGCTGCTGCACGCTTGGCGATTTGAACAGAACCACGTGCCGCCGAGCTGCGGCCGCAGTTTCCGGCCCACGGTCTACGGTCGCAGCCACGGGACTCGGCGGCACGGCGTTTGGGCCCAAGCTTGCTGCCGCCGCCGCCGTGCCCGGGGGGCAGCGCGGCGGCGGCGGGGGCACGCTGCGACGCCCCCGTGCTGC